GGAAAATAGCTTCTTATCATCACCATGGATTTCTGAATGTTCTGGTAATATTCCAGCAGCTTCAGTGAGATGAATTTAAATTAACCAAACATTTAAAATGCAACACCGTTCCAACATTACATCGTGTTACAGATGGCTTCAGATGAATTCCAATTGTTTGTAAATGGGACTACGTTCACTATGCACCAAGAGATGTGCAAAAGACAGTAAAAGCAGTAAATACTCAGCAAGTCTTATTAGAATAGAGTTAGTGTTTTGGGTTGATCTGTTTGGGATAGTTCTGCGAAGGATCGCCAATCTGAACATTAAATCTGTTACTCTGTGCAGCATTTTTTGTTTGTTTAAGATTTCTAGCAGCTGCACTATTTTGCTTTTATTAAGGTAGCTGGGCTGTCCATTTAACTTCTCATCACAATGATGGCAGCTGTAAAGGATAGTACTCCCTCTGCAGTAAAGTAAGGTTTTGAACATTATGAGCCTTCCCATTCAAGATTTCCATTCTTGGGATAAAAGAAGTCCCATCTTGAGGAAACATATGTGTTGGTTCTCTGAAAGCCAGAACTCTCTGGGTACATTACTGTTAGAGGATTTAAATATTTGGCCTAAGCTTCCTGTAGGGAATAATTTCTTTGAAGAAATGAGTCTGGTTTGATCCCTTTAATATATCCAGGAAATCTACCAGATCTAACAACTGTGGCTTGGGTTGTCAGCCATGGTTCACTGAGTAGCACTCTTATCTCTGTGTTAGAAAGTTGTAGGGTCAAGTCTTACTTCAGACTGGAGCACATAACCCAAACTGCTGCTCGGAGTACAGCACTGTCAGATGTGCCCTCCAATGGATGAGGAGTTCAAGTGAGCCTTTATTTGCCATTGCAGGTAGACACTAAAGATTCCAGTATTGTTTCAAAGAAGAGTAGGGCAGTTCCCCTGGTCAACATTTATCCCTTGGCTGATATCACAAGACCAATTAGAAAGCAAATAAACAAGGTTATGAACTTGCTGTTAATCAACTCCTCAGGTTTCCAAATGCCTTGGTAATGCCAAAACAGCTTCAGTGAGATGAAGTTAAATTGACCAAACATTCAAAATGTGACCATTGAGGGGGTGAGGATGGTATGATTTGAACTGCCATTCTCTAGGATTATTAGCACGTAATTAGCTATAACATTCGCCAAGTGGGAGAGGAACCAAATAGAATGGAAAAGGTTGATCACCAACATAAAGTTATACCTTTATCAGCAAGCCAAGCTCTGAACTGAGACCTGGAAGCCCCTTTCTTACATACTGGGATGGTAAAAATGATGGAATCGACTAAGAAACACTTGTAGTGATGGGTGATTGTGAGGGTCTCTGAGTGATCTCCTGGACTTAACCCTAAAATATTCAATGCTTAATAAAAACAGAAAGAACTGTGGATGCTGCAAAGTTCTGAGGAAGGGTCACTCGACCTGAAATGTTAACTCTGAATTCTCTCCACAGATGCTGCCAGACTGGCTGACCTTTTACAGCAATTTCTATTTTTGTTTCCAATATCCAAAGCTTCTTTTTCCCATCAGGGAGATTTGCAAGAAATACCAATGCTAAATGATCAGCACTGTCCTCATACAGAATAAACATCATTTTGCCTTTACTTTGGTATTTCTTGCACATTATCCTGAAGAATGCAAGATGAATGCCTTTGACAAAATGGCTTATTTCTTGTCAGCAATACTCCAAGTTCTGACCTAGTAAATGATTATACAGATGATATCCACAATTTCCAAACAAATTAACCTGATCACATTAGTGAATCGATTTAAATTGTCATGTTGCTATTTGTGGGAGCTTGCTTTGTGGAAATGTGGCAGCCAATTTACAGTGTTGATATGACTACATTTCGTGTTTTCTGGCATGCAAAGTGCCTTGAATACCAAAAGGTATTGTAAAACTCTCTACTTCTTTCAGTTAGTGGGAAGATATCAGGGAGTCAGCTCCCCATTGGTTTGGTGCATAAGAAAGTCCTCAGTACCTTATCCTTGATGTTAGGTGCGGTATTTTTCAAAATGCATTTAGTGGGTCATAGTCCCAACACACTTTTTTTTTGTTTTACTTACTCATGGGACATGGGCATTTATTGCACATCCCTAGTTGCCCCTTGAGAAAGTGGTGGTGAGCTATCTTCTTAAAATGCTGTAGCCCAAGCCCCCATAGTTGTTAGATCAGGTAGATTTCACAGATATATTAAAGAGGTCAAACCAGCCTCATTTCTTCAGAGGGAACTTAAGATAAATAGTTCAGTCCTGTTTGACCCACAGTATCCCTTAAGGAGGGTATTCTAGGATTTCTACCCCGTGACGGTGATGTATTTCCAAGTCAGGATGGTGACCAGTTTGGATGAGAACTTGCAGCTGGTGGTGTTCCCATGTATCTATTGCCCTTGTCCTTCTAGCTTTTCCCAAAGTATTGTTACTTGAAAATTTGAGTCTGTATAAACCAAATGCACTTTTGGGCTACGTTTTGTTTTTCCCTTTTGTTACTTCTCAGATATTTTGTAATGTGTACGCATCAGAGGTCTGGTGTAATGTGAATTTGGGACTGTTTGAGGTCAGCTCACACAGACAGGAGCCGGCCTTATCTGCTTATTAGGGAAAACAACTTTTCTATAATCTGCTCCTTGAGCCAAGCAGACGTGTGAAAGTTTAACTGTGGAAATAATAGCAAGTGGGGAATAGACAGAGTGATCAAGGTAACTTTACTGACACATTTTAACCGTTCACGCCAACCAAATTGTGTTTTTATGGAGCAATAAATTGGCATACATGGGGATGCAATGGCCTAGTGGTATTATTACTGGACTGTTAATCCAGAGACTGAGATAATGATCTGGGGGCTTAGGTTCGAATCCTGCCATGGCAGGAATTTGAATTAAATAAATATCTGGAATTGAGAATGATGACCATGAATCCATTGTTGATTGTCAGGAAAAACCCATCTGGTTCACTAATGTCCTTTAGGGAAGGAAACTGCCATCCTTACCTGGTCTGGGCCTACATGTGACTCAAAACCCACAGCAATGTGGTTGACTCTTAACTGCCCTTTGGGCAATTAGGGATGAGCAATAAATACTGCCTAGCCAGTGACGTCCTCGTCCCATGAATGAATAGAGAAAATATAGTAACAATAGATGACTGCATGTACCGGCCCTACAACCAGGCTGGCTCTTCAGTTAGCTGCAAGAATGTTTCTATCATCTGGACAGTCTGTTTCTTTCCAGTAACTGCAGCGTTAGGCACAACACCCATTCAAGGACATTTCACCAGATCCCTCCCGGCTGCTAGTGGTGGCTTTGTCTGTGGAAATACGAAAATAACACCAGCTGCTGGAGAACTCAACATTTTTGGGGAGAGAAAAGCCTTAATGTTTCGAGTCCAAAGACTCCTCTTCAGGACGGAGTTCCTGTCCACACAGATAGTGCCAAACCTGTGATTTTCTTGAGCATTTTCTGTTTTTATTTCTGAATTCCATCATCCGCAGTGTTCTAGCTTTGTCTGGGAGCAGTCTGCGCGGTTGGTGCCTGATTGACATCCATGTTCACCAATAATGATTAGTAATTGACAGCAGATGGCCCAATGGTGGGATTGGATACACCACACGAGGTAATGTAGCTGAGGCAGCGGTCGATACGCTGTGTCCGACAGCCCAGAGACAGCGTGTCCGCTAACAGCTACGCTGTGTCCGAAGGCCTAGAGAGAGCGTGTATGGTAGTGGCTATGCCGTATCTGACTGGCAACGGCTACAGCGAATGGGTTTGTGAGGGGACCCAGTCTCCGTGTCTTTGCCCTGTTCCCACTTCCAACCCCATCTCTGTCCTGATTCCTCTTGTTCAGACGTTGTACTCCAGGCTCGTTGGCAGCAGGGTGTGCCTGAGCTGACTCATTTCTGTGGGATTAAATGAACTGATTTTTCCAATTTTTTTGTTTGGAGAAAGCTGTCTGGCGTTTCCTGTTGTTTTTCTTCCTGTTCTATCTCAGTTTTGCTCTGCACTGACCCTAGCTCCTCTTCCTCTGGCTGTTTGTCCCGGGAAATGCCACCTCTAATCGCTCACCTCGCCCTATCCAGGTCTTTTAAAATGATAAAAGGGTTTAACTTAAGGGGTCCGCCACAATGTTTCAAATGATATTTCTCTGGTCAGGATGGAAATCAGGGAATACTTCTTTACACACAGGGCAGTTGATATCAGAGATCTCTCTCTCTGTCTTCCCTCATTTCCTCTTCCTCCTCCTCCTCCTCCTCCTCCTCCTCCTCCCCCCCCACCCCCCCAAAGTCGGTAGATGCTTAGGTAAGGATATGGATGAGAAACGGTTTAAATCAAGCTAGTTCTCAAAAAGGGCCACTAAACCGGAAATGTTGACATGGTTTCTCTCTCTGTACATGCTGCCAGACCTGCTAAGTTTCTCCTAGCAATTTTTGTTTTTTGTTTTAAAGCAAGCTGGAATCCGTTCGGGGGTGAGTGGCTGTGTAGTCTGACTCTATATAAGATTACTAATGTGGAAAGGTTAGGTTCAGTCCTTAAATGAAGAAATTGGTCGAAAATTCCTTTCTCACCCTCTGGTGTGATTGAAACCAGTTGAGAAAGTCAGGTAGACCATGTTCCTTTCCTGGAATCTGGGGGTGGTGTACAGAGATAGTTGTATACATGCCTCCCCATCTTATACTCTTTGCGTAGTCACATTTGCAGATATATGGATTAGCTGAAATGTGGGGAAACCAGTCAAGGATTTGGAGCAGTGGGAGGCACTGTGTGTGTCCTTTCCTCCCCTAAGTGGGGAAGGAGGAATTGTTCATGGTCTGGGATGTATGAGGTGAGGGATTGAAGCATAGATATTCTAAAATAAAATGTGCATGTATTTGAGACTTTGCTATGACGAAAGGTGGAGAATTACCTGCTGGTGGGGAGTCTAGTTTTGTTTCCTTAAAGTTCAACTTCTAACTTTTTTATATATATACATCTCTTCCTTTAGGATGAATTATCTCTTCCCTACACTTGTTCTACTGACTACTGCTGAAATGACCAGAGCAGGTAAGGGGATTTGTGCTTTTGTTTACAAGGCTTTACAATCTGCCACCTCACCCAGTGTGCCTGATGGTTAACTGGGAACTCTGGTGTACAGATGGAAGATCATCTCATGGAGAGGGATGAGCTGCAGTAGCAATGTAATCCAGAGGCCCAGCCTATTACTTTGGGAGCATGCATTCAAATCTAATCATGGCTGCTTCAGTTTATAAAATCTGGAATTGAAAGCTAGTCTCTGATGACCATGAAACTATTAAAACAAAAATAGCCTTTAGGGAGGGAAATTTGTCATCCTTACCCAGTCTGATCTACATGTGACTTCAAATTCACAGCAGTATGGTTGGCTCATAACTGCCCTCTGCAATGGCTGAGGAAGCCCCTCAATTCAAGGACAATTAGGGATGAGCAATAAATGCTGACTCGGGCAGCAATGCCCACATTATATGAAGGAGAAAAAAACACAGGTACAGTTTGTGATGTTGTGTACCTGGGTAAATGACAGCACCTTACAGACAATAGCACCCGAAAACGTGATTGGAAATACATTTTTTGAAAAGAAACGTGAAATGTTGGCAGGGGCTCCGGGAAAGAGAGGGGAACTAATAGGACAGCATAAGCACAATGGGCTAAATGGCCACCTGTGCTGCACATTTGAGCATAAAATCTTTGCAGCACAGAAACGGGCCAGATGACCCATCTTGTCTATTCCAGTATTCGCAGTTGACACCAGTTTTACTCCATCGTATGCTGTCAACATAGCTTTAATCCTTTCTCCTTTTGTGTATCCAGATCGCTCTTAAATTTACCCATTCTATTCAGCTCAAACAGTTCTTGTGGGAGGGACTTTTTTTCCGTGTTCTCTTCTGGGCCATGGACATTGCTGGATAATTTATTAATTGAATGTATTGCTCATTGCTCGCTTCCTTTGTGCCTACAATTGGAGGCTAACCTTATACTTCCTTCACTTGTTCATTGCTCTAATCAGTGTTAGTTGCCATAGTCCACAGGCTTTTCTCTCATCAGAAAGAAATGATTGGTGATGGTTTATCCTGAGGATCACCATGCCTAAAGCAAAGGGAGAGGTTGAGAAGGACAGTCCTTCGTGGTGACTTCAGCCAGTGAGGGAGTTGAACCCATGCTGTTTGCACACTCAGTATCGCGAACCGGCCATTCAGTCAACTGAGCTAAATTAGATTAACTTTGTCTCACATATTTCCCTGTCCTGGTCTGTACCCAGGTTCTCTTATCTAAGTGCCAGTGAGTTTCAGAGAGACAGGCAGCCCTGATCAAATAAATGCGCCTTCACTCCCCTGAGTAAATATATTTAACTCATGCTTGTGTCATTTGATTAGTCTGTGAATAAAAAGCAAAGACAACTAAGCTTGTATCTGTGGTCATGGTACAAGGTTCATTTCGTGTTAAACGCAATTCAGAGAAACTTCTCGATAACTGGAGGCAAATGTACTGCATATCCAAGGAGTACCAATCCTGAAACACTTGGGTAGAATACCTGGTCTGTATCGGGTTAGCAGAAATCTGGCAGGCATCCAAATTGTTACACCCGTGTGCAACCCCGCCTCTCCCCAAAAAAAAAAAACAGCTTGGCTGACATCACTCAATCCATCTCTCCACAGATTTATTTCTGATGATGTGTTTTTCACTTTCTGGTTTGTCCTCTTTCAAGTTTCTGGTTGCGTAAAGTTTGGAACGGTTCTGAACATTGTTTCATCATCTGTGGAGAAAATCCTGATTTTTAAAACCTTGAGTGCTTTCGGACTTAACTATGAGAGGTGCACGCAAAGGGAGTGTGAGTGAAAACATTTTATATGACCCTGGCAGCTTAATCAGAGTGTTATTGGTTTCCTTTTTATCCCAGGCTGGACAGGGAAGGTAACCAGTTCAGTTCCCTACCCTGAATTATTGATCCAGCTCCAGCCAAACGGAAGGAGCCACTTTGCAATAACCGGTACCTCCTCTCGGTCAGACGTACACTGAATGTAAAAGAGCCTGTCCAAAGTGCAGAGAAAGTCACACACTGGGAATGAAAAGGGGAGTTTCTGATTCAAATACAACACATGGAAAATGATAGAAATCTGTTTCAAAATAAAGGGAGAGACGGCCGGCAGTATGCAGCAATCGGATCGCATCTGTGGAGACAGAAGAATGGAGTTAATATTGCAGCTAATAACCAGTTAGTTTTTGTTTGCCAGATAAGCTCAAACTATACCTGGGCTGAGAGCACTTGGGAATTCGGGAGCAGAAAATGAGAGTGTGAGGTGCCAGAGAGCAACACGTGTCTTTGGACCTAAGGCACGTAGATCCAACCATGAGGTGGAGAGCTCTGTTCTGGGCTCCTTGTTGGTTAGTATGATATACCATGTGACTGTCCAGATAGTAGAACCTGAAACAGATGGCCTTTAAACTTCCATAGAAAATCGGATGAGGGGTAGACCGTTCAGCCCTTCGAGCCTACTGTGCCATTCAATGTAATCATGGCTGATTGTCCAACTCGGTTCCTGTTCCTGCTTTCTCCCTTTAGCCCTAAATCTGCCTCCTTGAAAGTTTACCTGGACCATCTCTAACACCTCTCTCCCCTTTCTGGACCTCTCTGTCTGCATATCGGGCAACCACCTAGAAACCGATATTCATTTCAAGCCCACCGACTCCCACAGCTACCTAGAATACTCCTCCTCCTCC